CGTAACGAGTGCCGTATAGTATGTGCGATATTGATTGTGGCCCAAATGGTTTTAAGACTATTCGACGTGACCAGCTTATTTATTTCATACCTATGGTTCATTCTGATTAGTGGTGAGTGTTTCCAAAAACATCTTAGACCGGATTGGGTTCCCCTTTCGATAGTGCATTGTCAGTTCGTAGACCTTGAGGCTCAAAGTCGATCATCATCACTTGGCTTCGATGGCACTCTATGTGCCCGAAAATGCACTGTCTAGTCTGTTTCTAGTAGAAATTCATCTGTGAAGCGCACAGCGTCAGATTTATGCAAACGAGTCAGGCTATGGTCTTCTAATAACTGACAGTTCAAAATAATTTATGCTGTTAGCCTAACTAGTTGGTGTGCACTAAGGCACCTGCAAGAACAATTAAGCTGTAAGATTGCAGTGACCGCTACTTAAAGAACGATCGCTAAAGTGGGCTGATCACAGAGGCCATAAGTACAGCAACGGGTGTTTTGCATGGGTAGGGGCTGATGGGCTGGCTACTGGCAGTTTGTGGGTCACCGAAACGAAGCAGACACTAAGGATTCAGCTTAATCTATTGTGTGGACATCATTGCGTTAAAATTAGAGTTTTTCCAGCTCATCAGCAGTTCCCTGTGTTCGTTCAATGGTTAGTTTCCATTGGAGAAGCATCCACCTTAATTACAATTATCAACGCGAGTGGTTATTGGTGTCAAATTGGAATATAGCCTATCACACGCACAATAATTCCTACTAATCATAAAGTCAATAAAATATAAATAACAGATAGTTCAGACGGGCCTAGAAACATACTATGAATAAGATACAGACATTTTTAGGTGAGAATGGTGGCCGTGTACGTTGATGCGCGCAAACCAGAAAAGTGCTAAAAGAATGAAACTATCAGTGTCAGATGAATCACCCTGAACGGTCGTGGTCAGAGCAACACGCAGATCTTATTGCTGCAGTCATGCGCTTCTCTCGTTTTCCATTGACTATGATGTAACGCAGGAGCATGAGTTTGGGGATTCAATCCCAGTTGTTCATGGTTAAAGTCCCTGTGGTGGACACAAAGGACAGAACGAACTATGTGACAATTTTTCAAAGACAGATAAGTGCCACAAAATATATTCATTGCAAGAGAACTGCAATGTACTCTATTGGGTAGAGCCTGTTCTCAACAACAACAATGAACAGTTCCTAATGAAACAATTTTCTTCTGTGATCAAGTTGAAAAGCTGAGTCAGTAAAGCAAAATTGCACGATTTATATCCTGAACCATTTTGCTGCATCTCAACTGGTGCCCACTGCAAACAAATACAACATCTATACGAGTTTGTTTTATAATCAATTAACAAACCATATATAGACCTTGCATTTGTCTGCAGTAGGTACTATTCGAAATGAAACGAGTGTCTTGTTCTCCTTTGCCTGAATATTCTCTCAAACAGTTACTGAGAACCTAAATTATAGAGTTAATTACGTATTTGTTTGAATGTGCAGTGCGCTTGTCGCAGTGCTTAATCACAAGTTACCTAAGGGATCATAAAATCCAAGTTGAAACAGCTGAACAATATTTCTCAGTCTTTCTTTCCTGCTATCTATGCATAACAAATTCCCTTTAGACACCAAAATGAATTTTTCAAAAAGATAACCGAAGCGTAACAATTAGGCTTCTCAAAACATTCAAATCTATATATCGTTTCTCACACATTCGGGATAAGCGTCTTCAAGCCATGTTCATTACGACCGTTGCCTATTTATTTGATTAGTAATTTGTGGCTTGTTTCAAAATAAGATTTTCCTTTTCAATCAACTTTTTTTCAGATAACTCCGTATAATCGGTTTTCAACTCCTCCCACGCCTGCCGGTGTCTTTTCCAGAATAATCACAAATCAGAACTAAAAAGAGCCAACCTTCAACCTCATATTACAATGCGATTTTGCGATAAAATTTCATTTCAGACATCCTATGATGCGAAAAATTCCGTGTTACGTAAAACTTCCCAATCATGTCATGTGTTCTACCATGAACTGATGTAGGCAAAATCTTTTCGCTGTCTGAATTTTACTTCTAAACGTTTTAAAAAATAAACCAAGAACAAAGTTAGATTTTTGGCCTGAATTTTGGCAATGTAATGGTTTGACTGACATGACCCTTTCGGGAACAATCGACCGACTTGCTTTTGTTTCTTACTTTTAGTCATTTTACGGGATAGATGGGATTGGGTTTTTGCGTACGTTTTCAAGGTTTTTGAACTGCGTTTCAATTCGAGTCTCTCGCAGAACAACCTAGCGTGAACGGGGTGAGTTTGACTATTGTGACTGTCAAGTGAACTTCTGTAGAACTTACCACTTTATATTTATGTACCTCTCGAGCAAGGAACTCCAAAATTCTTTATGCATTGTGGCTTTGTCATCGAATAAGCAAAAAGCAGTACATACCAAAAGCACCTCATTCAATGGCTCTTCGTCTGTATGGTCTATCATTACATACAAGCATCACCGATCTAGCTCAGATCTAACATAATCCCATGTCACCCTAAATGAAATCATTTTTCGTCAGAAGAAAACTTCGTAACAATCATATTATATTAAATGATAATAACAAATAAAATTGCAGTAATAGTTGCTTATTTGAACCCTACAACTTTGCTCGACAGTTTCCAATAGTCATGGACTTACAAAAGAATAAATCGATTTCTGTTTTTTAGCAACCACTGAGCGATGTAAAGCCTGTTTTCCCGGAAAAAATGTGCAACCTGTAATGCACCGTACTGTCTCACACGGGTACTGTGTTAGGCTGGTATACCTCACGGCACTCCCAAGTTTTCAATGGGCATCTTCAGACAGGATAATACTTTTCCGCCCCTTGATGTCAATATGAATTGTGTAATGCTGGTTTTAGCTCGTGTAAACTTTATTTACTTTATTTACCCAGTGCGATTATTCGAAGGTAGATTTTTACCAAACTACTTTTAAAAACTAAATGACAAAAATGTTATTCACTGCACTGTCTAACGGTGCTGTAGACGGAAACCTTGAAAGGATGATACCTTTGGGGAGGATGATAATGATTGAGTATAAAAAGAAAGTGTATTGCAGATATCAGTTATATATAGAACGATAGCTGGTGGGGTGTGTAGGATGAGGAGCATTACATACGTAGATCAAATAGGTGGTGTTGCTGAGTTGTATATACTAAGTTGCATCATCTGTTGTTGGTGTGAATGAAATCACATGAACATATACTGGGGACTTACTGAACATTAATTGAATATTTCAAAACTCATGAAAGCGAAAAAATGTAACGATGATTACAGTATCACAAAATGCAAGAACCAAAGACCCGTCACATTCATTTCAGCGAAACCAGCAGGCATCCCAGATGTTTAATGCAAACCTGTAGTATGCTGCTCTCGAGAAAAAATGGACGTTTTGTTTACTTGGCATGAATTGTTCGCGAATAGATGAAAGAAAGGAAATGTTTTCTGCGCGTAATTACACTAATGGAGCAGACCGCGTTTTTTCACGAGTTTTACAGCGTGCAGACATGGTCGGAAAGTCGATCGAATAATGTAAAATTGGACCTTGGGTGCAAAGATTGAAAACAAAGTTAGCAGCTGCCTCACACAAAGAGTGAGGAGTCTCTATTTACCTGGCATTCTCAAGTCTTGTTCTCACAGTATTACAAAATAATGCACGGACAAGATCGATAAATTATTATCGATTAGATTCTTAAATACCACGTTTTATCTAAGAGGATTCTCTTAACTTGATACAAAACAATCTGAGACGCGCACATGTCATCCTGTGTTTTGACAGTCACGAAGATATAGGCACAATCTAAATATGTAATGTGTTCTTGAAGCAAAATAACAAATGAAAGCCTTCAGTGAATACGCAATAATTAACCAAGTTTATAACCCTCAATTACAACTACCTGGATCATTATCTCCTTCTTTGTGATTGTAACCTGAGCATGACTGATGCGGAGATCGTTGCTGATCAAATCCCGATTCGCTATCGACAGTGATCACAGTTGCACAGTTGTATTGTTCTTTATTATTTACCGCTTCTTGTCTGACATACGAACGTACAGCAAACCACATCCGAACTTATTATCAACCATGACTAGATTGCGTAAGGAGAAGGGAATTACTTTGTTCTCACGGAAACTGCGCTCTAATGAATGAGTGCAAGATTTAATGAAACGTCTAACCGAAACATATTCTATACGAGACAAACAATCGTATATCTCACTCGCACATTGATGGGAGCTTTTGTCTGACGCTAGTGTGCGTAAATATTGTTGCTGTTTCCTCGTAAAGGGAAAATGGTATTCAGTTCACAAACCGTAAATCCCCGTCAATGAAATAAACATAAACGAGGTAAATTTCTTTGGATGTTTTGTCCCATTTATGAATGTGTTGTGCAACTCTGCTAGTAATCCCATGCAGACAAATCGATTCAACCAAATCCGAACCGAACCCCACCGCCCGTCCATTTGCGTAGCTGTTCACAAAGGAACTCGCAGCACACATTTGCAAAACTGTGTAGAAATGCAATTATGGGAACTTGATTATTGGATTAGTCTTAGGCAGATCCGCACAGAACGATACATGAGGCATGCTATACAGTGATTCAATATTAAATGCGACGATGAACGGATTTAGACTCGAGTCAATATAGAATAGTGAACACAAAGGATGTTCCAGGAGATTTTCAAAGGGATAGATGAGGTTCTTTTACACATTGTGGTTCTCTGTAAACATGTATCTTCCAAAGGTATCTTCAGTCTCAATTCAAAAGGAAACCTTACTGCATTATCGATAACACAGAGAGAGGAGTGACACAAGCGTACTTGATAAATTCCGGGAAAGGTAATGAAAAAAAACCTTTTTATATGTGGCTATTCTACTTTATTTTAACATTTAATGTTTATGGTAGATTTCCATAGAATGATATTAGCGATATTTAAATCCTGCCGAATAGAATTATGCGTACAAACGGTGGGTTAATCTTCCCGGAAGCATCCTACCGCAAATAATCTCTGTCACTTTGCAGAAAATAACGTTTTGGTGTGCAAAATCCCATATAAATCCTGCTAACCAAGTGAGTTGAACGTTGGGCATATTATTTAATTAGAATACGGTTCGCCTGGTTGAGTAAAGTGGTGACTTTGGGTTAGACTAAAAGCTAAAGAGAATCTTTATATGTGCGGTGGGTGCAGTACCATGGTGAGATCAAAAGTTTACAGTTGAACAACATCAGCATATATTCCAATTATTTGTTTTAAATACTGAAGTGGAATTCAAATTCAAGTCCATTGATGTGATTAGTATTTATTGTTTTAATGATATCCATGTGATTGTTGGGGATGAATCCGTTCAATTTAACGCATTGTCTACTGATCACCTGGTAAACGGTAAAAGAAGACGGCGGATAATACGTCGCGAGCTACACTACACAAATGTGGACGCAAAACATATCAGTTTGTGCGAATTCAGCGAAGCAGTGAGCAGAAGAAAGAGAACTGTAGGGCAGTTGTTCTTCCCCGTTTGATTCATCTTATATTTTTGTGTTTCGATTTCCAAACCAATAAGCACAGACCAGAGGCATAAATTTCAGTATATGGGTTTCTAGAGGTTTTAAATACTAATCAGTTTCGAGTTAAGTACTAAATAAAAAGAATTTTGCATTAGATTATTAGCGAAGTTCATTGGTAGCCAAAGCGCGCATTTACTCAACATCGTGGGTATGGAAGTTTCGAGACTCCTTTTTGCTCATTGTTGAAGGTGTTCTTAATTTGAGGATCATCAAGTTGTTACATATTAGTAATGCATTTGGCGTGCAAATAAGGCGTGAGCTGAAAAGCTGGGAATATTTGGGCAGCTGTCTCGACGTGGTTGGGTTTCATCAACAGTGTGAATCCATCGACCCAACTGGGACCTCACAAGTAGAACGTAAGTATACTCTCCAGCTCATATCTCATTAAAAAGAACGAATTCATCTCCCTTCCTGAAAATTTTCTCTGTATATTCAATAAAATGAAGTAAAATGGAAACAAAAAAATGTAAAAACAAATCAAATCCTCCATTATTGTCATACGTTAAAAAGTCTGACTGTAAAATTTTCCAGCCGAGTCATAACCCAGAAGGCCAATGTTGAAATAAGAGAGGACTGATATTCGCAGCAAGCTAGAATAGATGGGTTGTGCTATATCGTGTACATTCAAAATGATAAACTGTCTGATAAACTGCCCAGTAGCCGTGTTGGTAGTATGATTCCGTTCTACCTGTGAGGTCCCAGACTCGATCCCCCGTTGGGTCGATGGAATCGCACTCCTGATGCGACTCAACCAGATCAAAACAGCTGTACAGTGCTTCCCATCTTTTCGGCTGACACTTAATTTACACTACGAATTTATCATACAGACAAATCAAATCCTCCATTACGCTCATACCAAAATATTACTTTATGTTTAAATGGATGTTATAAAGTGTTAGCAGTTCTCAACAAAAGTGATTTCCAAAATTTTTTTCAAACGGGCAGTAATAAATGTGTGTATGTGTATATACTTTATTACATTCTTTGCTGTAATTGAAGACTGTCTAGAAGGCACTAGCTTTTCAGAGCAAATTTTCATTATCTTGATGTAAAGCTATCTCTACGATTATGGCTAATAACATAACAGTAACGGTTTATTAACAAATATGCGTATCGTTATTCATTTGGTAATCATGTGCACTGAACAAGCTTTTACCCGGTCCCCAGTTTAGATGATTTCGTGAATAGAACTTTAATAGTGTGTGGTAAAATGTTTCCAAAACTCATATCAGGGTATCATGTTTGAAGGCCAATAGAATAAACCGCTTTTGTGATGATAACCTATTGAACTTGTTTGCAGATGAACGGATGACAAATTCCTGGGGAATCGACATAAATTACTACAGATTGACATATTAGGATGCAAACGCTAGTTAACTGGGGCAGAACAAAGTGGTTGACCATCAGAGCCCGGGGGCATCTGCAGAGTTCGAACATCAGCTTATACAGCACCAGAGAAAAACCAAATTTAACCGCTCATCAACAACAAAATTATGACCCGAGTGAACATTGACTATAACTCAACTGACCTATGAAATAAGCTAAATCAGAGCTAAAATGTACCTTGGACTGAAGCTTTTCATAACATTTCTTAATCACATTACGGTTCGCGAGACATCGTGAACGCGTGTGCACACCCGCTTAAATGTCCCGATGTTATTTGTGTTGTTTTTGGATGGCTTCATTAAGAGTGAAAAAAGGATGCAAGGAAAAACAATCATTCCTGTTGAGCATGGGTTACGTCTTTGAATGGACTTGCACATTGCACTGACATTTTAGTATACAAAACATGCGCCTGTATTCACTAAAACACGTTTTTGACTTTTGTTCTGCCTTGTCCCCATTTTCACGATTTGTTGCACAGCTCAAGAAGACGAACTGACCCGGAATATCACAGTTGAAGTGAACAATGAAAAGTTCAATCTCGTATTGGTTGACACCAACTTTATGCACGATGAATTTCAAGACAGTTCGAAATCCGATGTAAGTGTGCACCTGAAGACGGGATGGAAGTGTTAAGCTCGATCCCAGACAGTGTCATACGCACTGCTTTTGAGTACACTAATGACCAACTGTTTCCGTTCAGTTGAGGACAGTAGTTTTTGTTTTCAGTAAATTTGGCTTCAAAGAAAGGGAAACGCTTTTCGAATGCAATGTTCCGCACACAGTCTAACACGCCCGGAAAATTTGCACATCAATCGTGTTCTGTGACAATGATGTCAAAAACCAATCTCGACATGTAATATGCATACTTCCAACTGGGTTCCACTATGCATTTTTCAGGCAGTACAAACAAAAGCACATTCATTGGGTTCGCTCAGATTTACTTTCGGCAGTGTCGACTCCTACTTTCTCGCCAATTCACCGCACGAGGAATCGGCACTTCAATGATAAAATTCCATTGAAGTATAGCTAACAAAAGTCGGGGAGCAATCGTTAAATGACCGATTGCACTTGCGATGAACGATGCCCAAATCTACCAACGCTATTTCCTGTAAAATCGGTCAAACTCCGAGTTAGATTGATAGGGTTTATCAGTTTGGCGTACCCTGAATAACCTCGGTGCAGTGGATTTCAGGGATCGATAAGAATCTTATGTGCAAACGTTTCACATGCATTCAAGCGATGTTCGCTTTGGTTAATTACTAAATCCTTCAAGTCATTTCGAAACATTTTGGTCTCTTTCTTACGGAGAATGGGAAAAAATAACAGATAAAGAATAAAGGAAAACGTAGAAAGAAACCCCGATAATTGAGTCTGGAGATGATCGATTGTTGAAATGGAAACTGACGAATTTAACGCATACGGCAAAAATGTAGTCGTAATGCATTGACGATATGTTTATTGTGAGAGCAACAGTGATCATCATCGATAGAAAATCCAGCATTTGGAGAACCTGCAGAGCTGATAGCCACTATAAGCGGCAAATATTCATCAGATGTAGCGTGGCGTTGTCCTCTCCTCCCATAATATTTCAACAAAGCCACATGTTTTTGGTTTCCTGGTTTGATAAGCGATCGCTAAAGCATAAGCAATACCTTCAACTGCTTTATTTCTTAGTTCGATGTTGTGGCTTATCCACGAACTGCTAGCTGAGTGACAGTGCGCAAAATCAATGGACAAATGTGAATTCAGTCTCCAGAGCCTCCTTATTTTCATCCAATGGATACCGGAAACTAATACCACTATTAGGTCTATTGTGTGCGTTCATCACGATCTTTTCGTCCATGCATCTTCTTATGAAACTTCGTTTGGTTGAAGGCATTCAATTCATGTGATGGCCTTGAATCCCAACCCAACGACCAGAAATTATGAATTGGTTGATCGCACCCAATAGTTCACAATATAACTAAGTGCAACAGTTATAAACATAAAACGCCACCCGAGCAGTTATTTTGGAAAATCGTGATGATAACCATTTTCGTTGCACACTTGGCATGAGGTTGCATTGACTGCGCATTGACCCGCTTTGGGGCATATGAGTAAGTCCAATTTAATGGTGTAGTACGCAGTATGCACATTAGTATATGCATCAGTGCATATGAAAGCACGTGTTATGAATCCACAAGCCGTTGCCGGGACGAGGAGAGTTATTCATTGCACACAACCGTAAGGATATCGGTAAAGTGGCATGAATACAACAAAATATCTTATTTCAAACGAGTCTTCAGAATTCTTACAACCACAAAGGAAAAATACTGGAAAGGTCCGTCAATAGATGCGCATTTTTTTGTAGTTTCAAAAGTAACTGTTTCAATACCTTCCCGATTTCCGTGGGACCCCGATAACTGCTCTTCGGTGCGTGCAAACTACTCACAAGAGTGAGTAGTATCTCCCAACAAGTAGCTGCTAAGCAAGCTGAAAACCAGATGCAGACAGGTCTGATCGTCTAGTGTACCATGATTCAGTCGCATGGACGAATTATGTCTGACTGAAGTGAAACGATTATTTAACAGAGTAAACCACACATGAGGGCGTTTTTCGGCGGTAAAACTTCGCCCAGATTAATGAAGCAAATGCGCCTTGGGCACGCGCAGTGGATGGTATTCTTTGGCTTCATATAACTCTGAATTCCGGTTGAATGAGTGTCTGGTTTGTGCTCTTTCGTGTCAATAAATAGGCATTCGTTAGCTCAACCATATATTATTTATATTGTTTAAGTTATGGTTTACACATTTACCAAATACCCTGATAGAATTTCCTCTCACTTCCACTTGCAGATTATTGAATCCGCAGACGCTTATGTGGTGGTCTACGCTATTGACGACAAATCCACATTCACCACTGCTCATTCAATTGTGAACTATTTGCTCGGGAAATGCAAACGCTCCAGTGCGATCCTGCTGGTTGCCAACAAGTCCGATTTGGTGCGCACTCGGGCAGTGTCCTCAGACGGTTAGTTGTTCCTCCCCACGTGTACATTTTCCTACGTACTTTTACACCAGGAGCCTTGGGCTTTCACCGGGTTTATGTATTGCAAAGATATGCGTGGTTCCGGGGTGCGGTGAATATTTAACAAAATCGGAGATGAGGTTGGGTGAAGCGTACCTCTGTCGCAATGTGGATTTGGCCAATTTGGATGTCTCCATCAAGCAAGATGCGTTTGCCTTTGAACTCCTACTGATAAATTGAATCTATTCTGTTAACGTTGAGGTAATTCACATTATGTCATTGGTTACTTACACACACGCACACACTTCATAGTCTGATTTTCTGTTCTGTTGATAGTCTGTCATGGAAACCAGTCTTTACACACCATCATTGAATATAGTCTTCAATCACCTTCCATTTCTTTAAAAATGTGCATCAAATAAAGAAATTTCTCCGCATGGTGGGTTAGCGTCCAACGTTGAACTGAACTAAGTACACGTTTACAGGTGTTTGGTCTGAGAATTTCAAATGCATTGAAATGAATCCATACCCAATCTGTTTGTATAAATTTATACTGTCCGTTATTGGGCAAATATCATGCAATTTCGGCCTCTATGGCGTAGCAGAACGAGAGTGGCAGTATTGCCAGGTGCGTGCATGTCATTCACCATTATCAGTTGCTACTGTGAGAACTGTCGGACCGTGTATGTGGAACAATGCATAGAAAGTATTGGTAATTCTCTGCCCGATTCGACAAGCGACTTACAAAGTGAGGTGAACTTTTCTTTGCACAAAATATGGAAGTTTGGAAGGGATCAGTGTTTTTGGAGTATTGATCAAGATATTTTTCTTATGGTGGTTCAATTTTGCTGATTCAAACCCAGTCGCTGTACCTTAATTTTGTGATAGTCGGAGTTGATTTTGTTGGGTGCAATACATGCAATAGGGGCACCATGTATTTAGCAACACAACAGATACCAATGTTCATAATGGATTAATCCACCCCGTATATAAGGGGTTATAACTTGTTATTTCATTTAGATATGGAATGAAATAGCTTACTGTTTTACACTCCAGTTGCCACAATACAGCTCCAACGATCGTATCACATTACACGGATAACCAAGCCAAGGTCTCTATAGTGCTTCAAGAGAATGTGAAATAATCATTTGTGAATGTGCTTGATCACCGTTCAAGCTACAATTCCGCAGATTGCACTTTTGTAAGATTCCCGAAGACTACAAATGAACTGAGACATCGAGTTCAATGTGGCCCCTCAGAGAACGTGCAGGAACACCTGCAGATTGAATGGTTCTTAATGTACTCTCATCGTATCATTAGAATGCTCCGTTTTTCTGGACCCAGTATCATCCCAGTCGACCGAATCTACTCGCCTTTCGGATGGATGCCAAGATAAAACGACGGGATCAGGTTGAAACATAAATTCTTGTTGCCAACACTGAACAAACTTATTTATTCGTTTTTGTGAGATTGATGTTATTTACCGAGTATTGGAAATCGGTTCTCGTAGCTCGGGTGAACTGCATTCTATTTCATTTTTTCTCCGAGGTTAACAATTTGTTTGCAAACGTTTCACCGTCAGACAAGGTGGCATCATCAGTGCCACTTCACACGCACTGATGACGTTACCTCACCTGGTGATGAAACGGTTACAATTACATTGCCATGCTCGGCGAACAAGCCAAATGGAATTCAGATCAATGCTATCTTCGGCGTTTCAAGTGAATCCTGTTTCAAAACCTGAAGCATGTGATTATTTTATAATAAAGGTGTTCATTATTATGGTTTTCAAGATTGCCATTGCCAATTCATAGTTGGTTGTGGGTCTCTGTTGCTTATTTGTGTGTGTATGTGTGCAATGCACGATTCAATTGCTAATTTGTAAGGTATATTTCAGCCACAAATAATTATTATAGTGACACGTTTATGGTCTGTAACTTCAATTTTGTCAAAACTGCGCTAATCGCGAGTAGCGTTTCTTCATCTACCTTCGGTTGTTTTTCTCTGATGGGGAACATGTAAGTGCGAGAAAAAAGACTTTTTAACGTATGTCCAAACCCTCTTTTCTCTTTTAAAAATACTGTCATTTGTGAGTGGTCAACAGCAATTAACTGTTTGACGTTTTACATGGATCACTAGTGAATTTTGTGGTAAATGGTCGTAGTCTTTGGTTCAGACTGGCTGCATTGGGGGGGGAGAGGACGAAATGTTCCATCACCAAGTCAGACGCATGTAAACCTACATTTTCGTGCACATCACTGCACTTGTGAATGGCTGTCGCCATTTTTGTTTACATATGTCCCAAAAGCGTTCCCTGAAGTAAACATGGCTGTCATGAAATTCTCCTCCGTGTTTATCCACTTGCAACAGTTAAACCCTGTCTTCCCCAGAGTGTCTACGAGTTGCTCTGAATAAACAGGAGGAAATGTGTATCTCCACAATCTGACTGTTGAATTTTCCTCGAGGGAAGCCTCCTCTCCTGATGTGGATTGTCGTGCCTAGATTAGTTGCATCAGGGAAGGGTATTATTCTAAAGGATATAATCTGTGGGGAAGGGGTCCTGCGCAACAGTAGATTTTCACAGTAGCTGACGATGCAGATTGTAAAATACCTTACTACTCGAAATAACCTCTCACCAAACAGGGATTTTTGTGCATGGTTCGGGCAATACTAAGTGAAAACAAACGTTTTATGACTTTTACATAAATGTGCCATCTTGTGAGGCTTAGTTAAACCATCTTCAACAGCAAGAAGTTAACCCCTGGCAACTTTTGATTGTTAACTAACAGGGAAATCACAAAGGAGGTGTCAAAGTAGTCAAATTACATTGCAGGTCACCTGTATCCATTTTTTAAGATCAAATGGAATAAACATAAAGAGTTGATTTGTATTCATTCAAGTTTGTAGGTACAACTTGTGGAAAACTACAATTCTCCCCTCAAGTTCCATACCACAGTAATATTTTTCTTACAAAAAGCAAATCAAAGTGGTACTTTTTTTTATCAGAACTCAATTTAATTTGTAGTTATTCAATTACGTGGGTTGCCTAAGTAACAGCGCCCTCAAAATGTAAAACATTCAGGTGGATCTCTTTTAGATATTTCCTGTGAAACAGATTTTGTTGCCGTTGAATATTCAGGTTTGCCTTCATATTCTGTAAGCTCGAGTGATAGCGGTTCAAGATAGTTTTACTCATTCGAATCAACGAAATACTTGGCTTAAATTGCAGTAGGATATTCTTATACCCATGCGCGCTTGTACCCGTGACATTTCTAACTTTAATCTAATCAACACATAATTCATCGTCTAACACTTGTCAACAATTTAAGCATGTGACCAAATAAGCATCTCTAATTCTAATTGTTTTTCTGACACGCTTCCACAATGCGAACTCTCCGAATGCAACTACCCAAGCCGTTTCGATCTGTTTGCGGGGGGCAGCAATCTTACGAGTCGCGCGTCCGAAAATAAAGGCTGCTGTGTGCGCACACTTCTTGTTGACCCGAGGTGACCTCATTCATCTTTCTTGATCAGCAACTGTTAACGTGCGGAAACAACATGCACGAAAAATTCGTTCCGTCACAAACTGCACGAGGGCAACATCTTCTGGTCCTCAACTGTTTTGGCCAGACGAAACAATTATGCCCACGAATTCAATTCCATATGTGACTGACTGTCAGGACACCGGTCCGGGAACAGTTGCGCGAGTCTTCCATGCACGGTCACTGCATTCAGAGGGCAGTGCGGGACACACGCGTTGGCACGCTGTCATTGGAGAGTTGAATTAGTGAGCGTTAAGCGGCTGATATTACTGGGTCACCGGTCACATCGCATGCTGAACTATAGTTGTCGGGACTTCGATTTGTCACTAAAGATCACCGATTGTGCTTCTATCAGTTTTCAACAAGAGAACTATTTAGAGCCTATTTATAATCGCACTTGTGTGATCAGGAGAGGGAACGACACCAGTGAAATCTATCATACCATCCACTATGAACTACCTCGGTAGGAAGAATCAAATACTGACTGAGTTTATTTCACGCTTCTTTCGTACTCGCCCGATATCTCAAACACCTATGAAAAAACTGGGAGTAACCACCTGCTCAAAGGCGATTAATGAAGCTCCGACATAAGACGGTGGCTTAGGCTATTCCAGCTGATTTTGAGTCATCTTCTGTAGCATTCATCCGTCACCAGGCTTGATTCTTTTTAACCCACGTTTTCAGGGAGATAGCATTAAAACTGGCGAAAAGTCTACAATAGACAGAGAGTTATTTAGCATGAACAATTTACGGAATCCTGTTTTGGTGGCTGGTGGATCACATGAATTTAAACTATCGAAAGATTTCCCCAGTGGCATTCGATTCCTTAACTGTATTTTATATACAAGTTTATCAAATTAGTGTAAACCTCCTAGGAGGCATCAAGACACCGCTCAGCGAATCAAAAGCAGGGAGGTCGCGGCACGAATCTGGTTACAAAACCTTGCCCATCATCAATCACTGCTGACTCATTAACAACTGTAATGAATTATTCGCATGTTGCCCTCAATCTTGCTCTTGACAACCTTTTACCAACAACAATATGCTAGTTTGTTCAACAGCTATTCCTACAGTAGTTTTCAACTAATTTTACACAGCACCACTCGACAAATATCAGTAAATTTGTTTGTTGGTTTTATTTGTACAGCCGCTGTTTATTTGTTCTTTCAGTCCATTCATATTTACTTCTTTACCTGTCTGTAGGTTTAAGAATTCCCTTGCACACTCACTACCAACATTTCTCTCCACATGTGGGGATTTAGATTTGCATTAAGCTCTCCAATACGGCAATAACGCACGGAGAGCACATTCTAAATCTCCCGGGATTAGGCTATTATAATCTGCTTTTGTGGAATTTGTATTAATTACCGTTAATGGAACTGACCTTTTCGCTAATTAAATATAAACACGGAACAAATGAATATGTAGAAAGGTGACCTCAAATATTCATTTCAATCAGAT